TAGTGGCGCCATCTAGTATGATCAACTTTAATTTGAAAGGGCAGTATGCAGTATTTATTTTAATAATCTGTATGGAAAATTAGAGTTCTGAATAATAATAAGAGTTCAAATAGAAGTTCAAATCAAGTCAAAAAAGATGTTACTGTGCAAGAGTGGCTTCCCCCATAATCCTCTGAAGCAGTTGAAGCACTTCTTGATTTTTTAAAAGTTCTTGCAATTCTTTAATTATTGTAACCAACCTTTGAGCAAGTCCTGTTGTTGGTGGTGGTATGGCACGTGTTCCCCTCCTGCGGGGACGGGCTCTGCACCCCGTGTAGTTGGCTGTATGAGAGTCTCCACAGTTACTTCACTTAGGTGGTGTATTTTCATCTTTTTGGCACTCGTATGATCGGTGTTTGGCGGCGCACTTAACACATCTTGATGGTGAATTACATGATCTTTGACTGTGTCCAAATTCTTGGCAGTTGTAACACTGGATTGGATTTTGCCCGCCTCGGAACCTTTCAATACTGACCGGAATACTTTGTATATTGGTGATAGAGAAAATTTGTCGATTAACATCTGTTTCTGTGAGAATTGTGAGAAAAAGTGGGAGGAGCTTAATTATTTTGTTAAGAAAAATTTATAAACGGATATATATTTAAATATTAAGAAAATTAGTGGTAGTCATAGATCACTTTCCTTGAAAAAAAAAAAGCGAAAAGGAAATATTCTTTCAATCAGTATTTTATGTAATTAGTTATTTTTAGTTATATAATATTAAGCATTTCCTAAATATTAATCATGAAAGTATTTTTATAGCCTTCTACAGATGGCGTTTTATTCATAACATTAAAGCCAGAGAACAAAGTTGTTTACTATTGGTCGAAATCTCTGATGGGCAATTTTACAACAACTTCACCAATAGTTGAAATCCTGTTTAAGCTAAATTCAGCCAAGTTTAACAATTTTCAGCAAACAAGTTTCTCATTAAGTTTCAGGCAAGGTATGTACTCTTTCCCTTTACATAATCTTGTATTTTATAGATCTAAAATTCCCCAGAATCTTCATAAAGAATAAAAGGCTATTTTTCGAATCACTCATAAATTTGCAACTCCTAAAATTTATATATATATATATATATGTTATGCTTTGAAAGCATTAACATTGTAATATCGAAAAATAAGACTTTTTGAAAACAAATTCAGGAACAGGTTTTGTTAAAGTGAGGGCCGGAACCCTACGATGAGAATATTACGTGCTGGTAGACAGATTGGGATGAGAGAGAATGACCTTGCAACGAGGTTTTTATTATATCTTTTTGTACAAAATATTTTAAAATTAATAGGTCTTAGTAGGGGTGCACAACCTTTTTGAGAGAAGGGCCACTTTCACAGCAGGTTCACTAACGAAGAGCCGCACATGTATTTAGACATGTTGACGGCAAATGTACTAATATTTATTCAAACATTAGTGTTCTAATTTTTTTTAGTAATAAACTTAGTAATATATTTGTAGAAAATTAAAGACGTTCAATTATTAGAATTCATTCAAAAATAGGTTTATTAAAATAAATAAACATTGATGAAAAGGATTTTCTTTTTATCATATTACCCAATACAAAAATTTATATCAAAAATAAATTCTAATAAGAGTGAAAGTAGGAAAACATTTAGTACATATTAAGTAATATAAATTTAAATTAAATATTTTAATTGAAGAAAATTTACAAGCTTTAAACAAAACCCTAAAATAAAAACAAAACTGCTATAGTTCAAAATAAAATTAAATACTTTTTGTACTTCATTATTTCTTTTTATTGAATATTTTTTGTATAGAAAACGTTTTCTTTTTTTTTTTTACCGAAAAAGATCATTTAGGCAACAAAAAATTGAAATCAAAATTACAAACAGTAAGCAATTTAAAAATTCACGTTTTCTTTTTTTTTTTTTACCACCACTTTGTGAATTTCTCAGACTGCAATAACATTACATTTAAATTAGGGATGTGATGAGTACTTGGCCCTTCTGTCAAAATTCAGTTGATCAAATGATTGAATAAATATTCAGCACTAGAAAAAAAAATTTCTAACTTTTTTTTAATTTGTATAGATATGATAAAAAATAATATAAAATCATATTTTCAACTATATTATAGCATTGTTTATTAAAAGAAATAATTTTTGCACAAATTTGTTAAATTTTAAAATCCATGTTTCTGCACATGGCTTGCAAATTTATCTTCTAGAAGACAAGTGGAAAAACAAAATTTGAAATTACTTGAAACTAGATAACTTTATAGTGAACTCAAGTTTTTGCATTTCTGCCTTTTCTTGAAAAAAAAATTATATTTAAATAAGTCAATTTCGTCTTTTTTTCGACACTTTTAGTTCTAAGAATTCAGGATTTTTTTTCTTCAGTTTTTTTTTTTTTTTTTTTTTTACAACGTCGCATTTCTACAGCACGTCTCATACTATTAATTTATTGCCAATTTTTCCCTGTGCTGTAATATAGATAACCGGTAACTTAGATAACTGTGATATTCATTGTCAAAGTTTTGCTTTAGGAACTAAGAACAATTTTTTTAATCTGTTTTTTTTTCAAATAACTTTTTATAAGCATTTTTAATATGACAGAGTACTTTGTTAAATGAACGTTACTGATGAATCTTATTTTATAGCAATTTTTTTCTTCTAAAATTATGGCATGTTGAAAATTTTAGATTTTCACTTAAAAAATGTTATGTTTTTGCCGTTTGAACGTTTTATGTTTTTGTATCTATCTAGCATTTTTTTCTTCTCTTTTTTAAAAAAAAAATCTTTTTTATGGACGTTTTTATTAAAACGCGTAAATTTTTCTGGTAATAGGAAAACTGAGTCGTTCAGCCATAAAATTTTCTTTCGAAAATTAAGATATATTTTTTTTTCTTTGCTTTCCTTTTGTATACAAACTTTAGTTTTTATGATAAGTGTGGCATTTTCAAAAGAGTTTCTGATAGGTCCTATTTTTTAGCTTTATTTTATGAATACGTTTTTCAAGAAAATATTATTCTTAGCATTGAAATTTTGGTTTCAATGTTGCTATGCTGCTAAAATATGTCGCTATTTGGCCTCGAATATACGGTATTCGGCCGATTTTTTTTTGCCGAATATTCGGTATTCTCTCAAATCACAATTCATTACCATATTCGATGAAATCAAATTCATGGCCGAAAAAACAAAAACAAAAAAAAAAGATAAGAAGCATTTACGAAAAAACTGTTCCGCGAGAAATTCGCGTGTAGTAATAGCATCGTAATTAAATAACGGGATAGTCAAAATAACGTGGAAAAGTATAAAATAATTGGAAAAAAATCATTTAAATTTATGTACGAATAACTCAGCACGAATAAAGCGTGTCATATGCGCGATTGAAAATTCGCATGTCGTAATAAAATTATCGGAATTTTTTACACTACGTGGGAATACATAGCAATAACTGCCGAAAAAAAAGAAAAAAAGTCACTTAGATTTACAACGATGTTGTTGTTGTTAATTTACGTCGCACTAGAGCTGCACAATGGGCTATTGGCGACGGTCTGGGAAACATCCCGGAGGATGATCCGAAGACATCACAATTTTGATCCTCTGCGGAGGCGATGGCACCCCCGCTTTGGTAGCCTGACGACCTACGCGCGAAGTCGAGCACTTTATGGTAGCACAGTTTAACGAGGACCAATACCGCACACCCTCGGTCCCTACGCAGACTGATGTAAGTGGTCCCCCACCCGCACACTGACCGCAGCCAGTGATGCTTGACTTAAGTGATCTGCTGGGAACCGTGTCTTATCGATCAGTCCACTGCGGGACAGATTTACAACGATATCGACATAAATAAACAAACAGGGGTGAAAGCGAGACGGGTAACGCGAAGGTAAATTCCGGGTCAATGCATAATTCGAAGTCGCTACCACCACGCTACTGATCATTTACCAGAACGGCAATACCGCTTATCTACCAGAAAGGTTCTTAACAATCTATTTTTCTGTGGCAGCATGATTTAAGTGTTAATAATTATTTTTTGATTTAATACATTTGATTTCATTATGATTTTTTTTCCCATAAACTTTTACGTTTTCGCGAAGTTTTTTAAATATTAGATAATAGTTTGTATTTTAATTATTTTATTTCCACTATGTAAAACATTTCTCAAATGACCATATAGTTCAAAAGCTATTAAAATAAAAAAATCTGTTAATTTTTATGCTTTCAATATTTTAATTATCTTTGAAATGTACTACCAGTCTACGAAAAATATATTTGTGGACAGGCTTTGCGTTCTCCTTTAAAGTAATTTCAGAGATGCTTAAATTGGATAATAACATCCAGCTAAAGTAATTTCTTGTATTATTATTTTTTCTTCTAAAAGTATATTTATTTTCTTATTAAAACAGACTTAATTTTCAGAATGTGGTGGAGTTTTCACCAAACCTACGGGAATATTAAAGAGTCCATATTACCCAGCAAACTATCCAGCTCTAGCAGAATGTATATACGAAATTCGTACGAGCCCTGGAAATATAATCAATATTACATTTAACAATATGGTGATAGAAGATGCGCTCCTATGTCGATATGACTATTTAAAGGTAAAGTAGTTTCTTATCTTGTTTAATATTTGGTTACTTAAGAAACTTGTTAAATGTTTTCGACAGAGTGATTAGTTAGAAATAGTGCAAAAAGAGGTAATTCCTAATAATGTTCTAAAATTTTGTACTCATTATTTTAACTGCCTGTATTGACTTGAAAATTTTTTTACAGAAGTTTATGATCAAAGTAAATATAACTTATGTATCTTTTGATAATTGTATTAAGGTTGAAAAAATTAGATTTACATAGGTTTATCAAAAGTAATGAAGTAATTTTCCATAATAAGGTACTGCCGAGGGGACCCTAGAATAGTCCAACCAGTGACGAATTTTTTAAATCTCGTCAAACTATGTTACCGGATGATATTTCAGGGAGATTATTTTAAACGCCCGATCACACCACCAAAATTCTTAAACCTGATTGGTTATTTGATATGTATACCTACGCTAAAATTGGATTGCATTAGAAAAGAGGTAAAAGGCTTTATTTTTTCGCCCTCTATGCTTCTGATCTCTTATTGTTAGAATGATCATTATTATTCTGTTATTTTTATCGTTAAGTTATTTTTTATTCTTTTAAGAAATATTTCAATAAATTTTTAATAATTTAGATTCTTTTTTTTTTAATAATCAAAAATCAAAGTTGATTGCATTAATGATTTCCAACTTGGCGAAATTTCAAAAAGTCTCCAACAGGTGAGCTATTCTACGATTTTACCGGTACTGCCATAGCATTTGTAATGAAGAAATACTTTTTTTAAAAAATTTTATGCCTTTAATTTAGAATGTAAAGTTTGAAACGAAATGCAGGCGGAAAATATAGTCAGAAATAATGATAAATATATATTTCATGAAAATTAGGTTTAAATCATTAATTTTTATTAATATTAAGCTGGTGACAATCTACGAAATTTGATATTCCTGTGAGAAAATTAGATCGTATCATGCAATTTTATGGCTAATTTGAATGGGCCAACAGCAATTCAAATTTCTTTTATGCATTCATAACGTTTCTATATTACGTAGAGAAATTAATTACGTTGTATTATTATTAAATAAAAACAAATGAAGCTTTGCAATATTTTAATAAACAAAATTTCTCTGTTGCTTATTTGTAATTAAATATTTGTTACTTTTTTAAAAATTGGTTTTTAATAGTTCAAACACAAATAGCCTTTTTAAAACCCGTTTATAACTCAGCTAATTTTCTACTGAAATATAATATCTTGAATGATTTGTTTGTAAATTATGATAATAAAAGACAGAACCATTTACATTTTTTAATTTAGATTCAAGATGGTGAAGAGAAAAACAGCTCTGTTATCGCACTGTTTTGTGGAAATGATGTGCCAAAGCCAGTAATATCTACAAACAATTACTTAAGATTGAGATTTAGCACTGACGGTCATACTGAAGAACAAGGATTTTATGCTACTTATACTGTTGTAGAAAATGGTGAGATCAAACGGTATTAATTATTTTTTTTAACCACTCTTGTATAAGGGTTGGATAAAATTATATAAGTTTCGTGGCGTAACTACCACTATAAATATTAAATACTAATTAACTATTATATAAGACGTGACTTTGATTTCATTTTGTGGTAACAATAGATATATTATGATTGACGTTATCTACTTAAAATCCCCACAATTACATATCTACTCAATGTGAACAGTCTATCTTGAAGCATCAAATGTATTGTAATGGCAAAAGTGCCAGCACAATTTGAAAGGTTACGCTTGAAGCGTTCAGAAATGGTGTCTTTTTTTACCCATTACAAAGCAGTATCTTGTTTGATGTTTCGGGGATACCTGTCTAATCACTTGTACGTCTAATTTACTTATTAGTTCATCAATCTATATGACTATCACCGTTCTAAATCTGTCAATAGCTTCGAAAACTTTCGTTTGTTTTCTTATCCAAGGTATTAGCTTTCGTTTTCTCTCATAATGAAGTCTTAATTACTTTTTGTGCTTCGTCGAATCATTTGTAAGTCTTAGTATGGCATCTGCTGGAGTACAAGTCTCTGATACTGCGTGTACACATACTGATTGAAAACATTTCAGAGATAGATTCGATTTGACGATGAGTTTGCTTTAAATCTTTGTTGTGGCTGGAGACCGATTTATTTATAATTTGCATTATTATCAGGTATACGAGTTCATTTAAATTTTCAGATTTATAGATGGGAAGTGAAGCAGTCCTACAACAGCCCACAATGAGCCAGGGGAATCATGGATGCAAGGTTAAGACTCTATAGATTCGAGCCCAATGGCATGATTGTGGTATTGTGACGAGCACTACTCATAGGCTGCCTTTGCTTCCCTGACAAGCTAGTACCCGTCGATATGAATCTGGGTGGGCTTCAAGCCGCCACTGAGGATAGAACTTCAATCCTCCCCTGTGGGAATTCAATGCAAGTCAATCATCGCGGCTCATAGATGGTCCGAAAGTAATCTTGAAATTTTTATTACAAGAACCGCTCTGTCTAGACAAAAATGCATTTAATTAAAGAAGAAAAATAGGAAAGCAACATTTCCATACTAAAAATGGAAATAAAGTATGTGTTTCTTATAAATAGTCTCTTAAGAAAAAAGGCTTTCTCTACTATGACAAAAGTTTAAAAAGCAGTATCTGTTTTTTATTTTAGTCATAGTATAGTAAACTAAAAACATAAGTTCGTATTATACCAGGTTCCAGGGTATAATGAAGATTCGAATGATTGTTCTTAGCTATATAGAGATTTTAATTAAATTAAATAAAATCTTAACTATAACAGAAATTTTAAAAAAAATTATTAACTGTACAGAAACTTTTATGTTCTATATTATAAATTTACTAAGAGAAAAATTTATTTAAAGAGATATACTTACTAAGAGAAAGAAAAATTGTTCCTGTAAAAAATATTTCAAAATCAGTAGTGACAGCCAACTAAAACGTCATTTCGTTGTTTTAATACATTTGATATCAGCTTCTCCACAGTTATTCTCGGTAAATACATTATCTCCTTAGAGTCTATTGTTCCTTCAAACTATCTTTTTCGAATTTTCCCGCCTTTTCTTATTTTTATTTCATCTTCTTCTCGAGCACAACACTCTTTTGTAGGCCCCATGGCTATTTCAACCACGCATCCTTACCAGCATCTTGTATCTGCGGCGATACCCCTCTAATTTTTAGTTTAAAAACTTCAAAAAAACTTTTTGAAGTCATTCAACGATCCAATTAATGGTTCCAACTTTCTCTAGATATCGGCATCTGTCAGGTTTATTGAAATTCAAGATTTTATCGGAGTTACCTTCCAAGCTTCATCAAATATGGTTAAGCTGTCTTAATTTATTGCGATCGCGAATAAAGATGTTCACATGTGCGATTTTCCAACAAATTGAGTAAATTTAGTGGGAAATTATATGTTATTTTATATGAAAAACTATTATTATCATAATTGTTGTATCTATTACTCGCATAATTTCATACATTAGTGCGTTTTTTTATGAGTAACTGCAACATCTTTGTTTATTCGCAGAACATAGCAAATGTTCTCTTGAAGATAACTTTTACTGTTCCAATACCACTTGCGTTCCAAAGAGTGAGGTTTGTGATGGAATAAAAAACTGTGAAAATGGAGCTGATGAATTTGGTTGCGGTAAGAAAANAAATATGTTTAGTGTTAATGTTAAATTTCTCAAATTAATTTTGTCTTCTTTAAGCATACTGGTTGTAAATTTTAAAATATTTAATAGTATTTCTGTACTTTGACTTAAAACTAATAAAATAACGAAGTTTCTTATAATTACGAATAAGTAGAGGAATAGTTCAGCGTCTATTACGTCAGAAAACGGATTCAAGCAAGTATGAGTAAATGCCATTCATAATATGCCGTTCATATTCTCTACAGTAGTTGGAAAAGGCAGATATTCGGCTTTTAATATTCCAAGATTATGAAAAGCTGTTCTTAATTTCCTCCAAAGCAATTTTTCACTTAGATATACGTTATAGTTGACACATGCAAACAATGCTTATACATCTAATTATCATGTTTATTCGCCTGTTTACTTTACACGGCATTAAAGTAAATTGCATCATGAAAATAGTCTTAAAGATTATTACGAATTTCACAATGATTTAATTTTGCATGGAATTATGTGAAAAATAGTACTGCTAAATAAGAAAAAAAGCTGCTGAATATTTAACTCTTTCCTTTTTTAAAAAACTAAATAATTATATTTAAATTTTGGAATGGTTATTTATTTGATTCGGATTTGAAGAAGCGTAACTATATAGAAAATTTAGCGGATAATACCCGCATTCAAGGCCCAAATATTTTTTGTAAAATAAATTATCTACTTAGTCTAATAAATTTAAAATTTTTAACACATAAACGGTTATAGTTTTTGAACATTTCGCCCATATAAATAATAATCATAATTTTATTTTTTAACTATAAAATTTATTTTTTATTTGGTAAATATTTATTTTCAAAAAGACAATTTTATGCATGAGCAAAAATATCTGCAATTTACTTTGATTTAAATATTGTTATTCCTTAAAGTTTTCTTATATTTTCCTTTCAACCAAACCAGCAACTTAAAATTTTAAAACCAGCAACTTCAAAAGTTTTTAAGAAGTTTTTTTCATCATTTTCTAATATTTTTAGACATTTTTAAGATATTATATACTTCTTGATCCATTTATATCACTTACTTTGCATAATGAACATAATTATGTCAAAATGAAAGCTAATGAATGTAACACATCAGCAAAAGTTTTGTTTGGCAACCAACATGCATCTTCTGCTTTTCTGTTTCTTCTAATAAACTTTGACAGGCTTTTAAAAACAGTAGCCTGCTAGTCTTACATCTTCATGTGTTTTTGAACGTATACCCAATAAAAAAATAAATATTAGTTTTGAAAAAATCCTTGAAGGAAAGAACAGATCTAAAACCAACCTTAAGGAACAGCAAAAATAGTTGTCAATAGTTTGAAAAAATGTATATAAGCAATGCGAGTATTTTTAAAAACTAACTTAAATTTATGAATAGCAGAACACTTATAGATTTGAACAAAATTATTTTAACGTGCTTTCTTTCATATGCGCTTATACGTCATTGTTTATTATATTATTTATTTTAAAACCTATGTATTTTTTTATCCCATAACAGTGACTTTAGATCATACATTTCATATCAGGAATCTTACCAAAAATCCATGATTAATATTTGTAATGATAAAGATAACGCAAAATTGTGTTTTGAAATATGTATGACATTTTCAAATCATACATACTAAGAGTAAAAATATTTTTATCAAAACCAAATCATTCAAACATTCATTTATTGGCTGCAATGAGATTTCTTCTCCCCAAGAAAACTTGACCATCTGCAAGCGATTTTGTCACCCTAAAACTTGTAAGGACTACAGTATGTTTCGAGAAATATGACAAATGTTTATATTTATGAAAAGGAACTGAAAGTCGTGATACAAAAGACATCACCAAAATTGGATTCCAAGTTTTCTAAATCTACTTCTTTTTTATTGGACCATCATAAATTTTCTTCTTTGATTACTAGAAAATATCTACTATCATCCTCCAATGAAAAATGATATACTTACTTAAATTACAAAGATATGAAATTTTATAAAGTTCTCACTGTATTTATATACGAGTATATGTTACTCTAATGATTATGAATGGTGTAGAAAGTACAAATAAAATGTATAATAAAATAGAAGAATTTTATTATAAGAAAAATATAAATATAGATTGAAGATTGAAGAGATTCTTGAGAAAGTATTTTAAATGACAAGTTAGTGGATTTGCGAATAGTAGTTTTAGGAAGTTTGGGTTGACATTTAGAAAACTACCTTATTAAAAACACAGCCCTATTAAAAACTTCCTTATTTTATGTATGTCAGAATAATTTACTATTAAATACATCATTTCGGTTTCCCTTTTATTAACATCTACACAGAGAAAATTGAGTATACTAAACGTTTAATTCTCTATCTTTTCAATACATTATTACAGCAGATTTTATTTAACATGTAACATCTACTTAAAGGAGCGCTATACCGGAAGAGAACCTTTACATGGCGGATTCTGTTTCCCCACCATCAGCATAGTAATATTTAAAGTTCAGTGAAAAGTTATTTAAAGTAAACTTAGAATAAACTGTGATGTTTCAAATGGTGAAAAAATGTTTTCAAAATGCTTAAGTACGAACAAATTATTGCAGAATTACTTCTCTTCTGTCCTGAATTATCCTACAGTAATTTGTGTGAATTTTAATATATTGAAGAAAAATAAATTCTACACTTGAAAATGCATGGTATATTTTCGGTTTACCTGTACTCATTTTTCCTATACTTTAATTTTTAAATTAATTATGTAGGTGAAAAAAGAAGATGTAATCAAAGTTATTTATTTATTTAATGATTGATTATTATACACAATTTTATTCTGCTAATATCAGCAACAAAACTTTTTCTGTTTCTTTCTACAGTGGATAAAAATAATTAATTTAAGCAATTTATGGTCCATCTAACATAAAGGCTTAAGTTGAGTTACTTACTATTAACTTAAAATGACTGTTTTTTAAACTAAGGTAATATGACATTTTCCTGGCATTCAAGATTTGGTGAATTTCTATTTTTTTTTCTCTCGAGCAAATGTCAATGAACTACACTGCTGTCTATAAGATATTAATAAGTGTAGCTAAAGAAGTATACAAAAAACTTTTTAGATTATTTTGAAAACTTTGAATTTGAAGAAATTTTTTGGTCAGAATTGTCATGTTTCGTGAGAATCACTCATATATTCTTTTTTTCACAAAGAATTGCTGCCTATTCGTGTTGCAGTGCTAATCGCAGCTGCGGAATTGTTGCTGGCGACTGTGGATAAGCGTCTCCCTAGAGTGCCCACATGTTTTCTATTAGTTTAAAATCCTGGGATCTCTCCGGCTATACCATGCATGCAATATCTTTACTTTCCAACAGTTCTGTGACAGCCATTGTACGACGAGGTGTAACATTATCGTCCAGGAAGATGAACTCAGAATCGACAGCAATCTAAAAAGAGAGGAAGGAGAGCCTTGGTGCATTAACGGACACCAGTGTTTGAAATTCCTTGGAAGATGAGTAGATCAGTATGGGTACCAAGCATCATACCGTCCCCCCCCCTAAGAACTCCGCACCCTCCAAATCGGTCTTTTTCGTTGATGTTAGAGAAGATATTGCGCGTTTCTTCCTCTCTCCGGGTGCGTATGCGTACAAAATTACTGGTCAGACTAAATCTGCTCTCATCCGTAAGGCTCCATTGCGTATCTGTCCAACTTTTGTGTTCCCGGCACCACATTAAACGGCGTATCAGGTGAACTATCGTTAATGAACCTCAGTCTAGCAAATAGACCACCCTTGTTCAGTCTATTGGGCACGATAAAACTCGATATCGGGCGTACAGTACTTTGCTGTGTATGCCTAGCGATTTATCCTGCTGTCAGCCGCCCGTTTCCTCTACCTTGAAGGAATATATACCAGTCAACCACCGCAGCGGTTGTGCTGGAACGACTCCTACCAAACCGCTGGACAGGTGTTTCTGTCCACTGAAAAATGTTCCAAGCTCATGAAACGATGCTGTGGGCGATTTTGAACTGCTCAGCCAAACTGGTCACGCTTCGACCTTCTTCCAACTTCCCGATGACACGACCTCGCGTAAACTCATCCAGATGTCGTCTTCTGTGTTGTCTATCAGCCGTATCACTCCATGACAACAAATTCAGTTCGTTTAAACTTATTGATACTGTATAATTCCATTCACATAAATACTGAGCTTCCGCTATTTCACCACCAGGTCGTTTTATTTCCTTACGACAAGCCCGCTGGTACCTCATGGTGCACATAGGTAAATTTTCTACTTTACCTTACCTTGATTGGTCTTCTTAATGACATTTCCCTCCTTGTAACTGCCTGTTTTTGCGCTGTGGTAGTTTTTCCATTTTGTACTAATTTTTGCGCAGCAGTGTACTAATAGTATAACAAAACAAAACTTAGTAGTGTTGTTGCGTACTATGGATAAAGTCCTTAAAACATTTCACTTTCAAAGAAATGACCTTGAACAATCGTGAGGTAAAATTTTCTACAGGGAAGAAAAAAATTATTTTAGGAGCTTGAACATTATTCATAACCTACTTCAATATTAAAAAAAATCATTCCAAGCAAAAAATCTAAGTTCAAAATAATGCCTCTTATTTATTGACTGTTCATCACTGCTTAATATGTTATCATCCTCATTTGCATAAGAACTGGGCACCTGAGGCTTTGCGGCTCTTTTCCCATTCATCTTGAAAATAAAAGAGAAAAATAAGCATGGTAACAGTTAAAGATACAGCGCGATAAATGGAGCGTTTAAAATTTTATAAACGAATATATATTTAAATATTAAGAAAACTAGTGGTAGTTATAGATCACTTTCCTTGGAGAAAAAAGCGAAAAGGAAATATTCTTTCAGCCAATATTTTATGTCAAAATCTAATTAGTTATTTTTAGTTACATCATATAAATCTTTATTTAAATATTAATCGTGAAAAGTTTTATTATAGCCTTCTTCAGATGGCGTTTTATTCATAACATTAAAGCCGGAGAACAAAGTTGTTTACTATTGGTCGAAATCTCTGATGGGCAATTTTACAACAACTTCACCAATAGTTGAAGTCCTGTTTAAGGTGAATTCAGCCCAGTTTAACGATTATCAGGAAACAAGCTTCTCATTAAGTTTCAGACAAGGTATGTACTCTTTCCCTTTACATAATCCTGTATTTTAGAGATTTAAAATTCCCTATGAATCTTCATAAAGAGTAAAAAGCGTTTTTTCGAGTCACTCATAAATTTGCAACTCCTGAGAATTATATATATTCAACATAAAAAGCTTCTACTAATCTTTTTATGTTACTTCTTTGCTATAAAACAACTCCTAATTAATTATTCTAATGGAAACGCTTTCTCATGCTTTTAACCCTTTGAAGGTTATGAACGAGTTCAGTTCGCAATTGAATCGTGCCTCATGATGCGCGCAGACGAGTTCCGCTCGGGAGCAAGATTTTGACCGTAATGGTTAGTAACGAGCACTACTCGCGTAGTGAAATTTTTTCCCAATGAGCGCTGACGAGCTGAACTCGTTCGCCATTATTATTCTGCATTGAATATGTTAAAAACGAAAAGTACGTAAAAACTGTTATTTATATACTACGAATACTTTAAGAAACTTTTAAAACGCGTGAGGCGAGTTATCTACCGCATCCAGAGATGCCAACTTGTTCCGCTTTGTAAAATAGTATTTCCTAGTGATAGCGAAAGTCAAGTTACTTTCAGTTTAGTATTTTTCCTTTTAAGTAATTTTCTCACCAGTAAATTTCAAAAACTATAAGTAACATTTAAAATGCAACGTTATAGCAACAATCTACTGGTTACTCTAATAAAAAGTAGGCGTAACTGTCCGTCTCCAACGAAATTTACTATTACAATTCCAGAAGACGAAGCAGTTGGCATCGCCACAGAAGGGTGACATTTTCGGAAGAACGGAGGTGGAAAACAGATGCCACTTTCGACTACTGTTTGCACGTAATACTGCGCGAAAACTGCTCATTTCCCTGACCGTCAAAGGGTTAACAAGCCACACCCTGTTCTTAAATTTATTTTTGGCTCAAGTATGCATAATTAAAAGTAAAGACTTTTTTACTTTTACTCTTTGAATCGCTTGACCTAGTTAATAAACCAATAGTAATTTGTAAAATTTCACTCTTTTCCCTAGATCGAGACATTTTTGGATTTTCCCCGCCAGAAAGACTGAACGTTGATAGAGTAAACTTTACTTTTCGCTTGTCACTCAACAAAGAATGATCAAATAAGAATTATTTTGCTTTCATTAGAATTCTGTGTCTGTTTTCCTACTCGGTCCGACTGCATCATTTTACAAGCCGAGCAGGATTATAAAACCTGCTGGAAACGGGCATAGGATATGAATAAATAATCTTTCTCTTGTCAAAATATAATTCAAAAATAAAATTACAATTGGCTGAATCATGAAATTGATGCTGAATTGACATTGGTGTCTGAATGCTGAACTGATATTGCTCTTGAAACAGATAACACTCGTGAAACATATTATCCCTTCTAATCCTGAAAAGAAAAAAATCCGAAATATCTCTATCTAGGAAAAAGAGGGAAATCTTAGAAATTACTATTGGGTTATTAACAAGGTCGAGCGACTCCCAGAGATGCCAACTGCTCCGGACACTACAAAATAATTAAAACTACGGTAAATAAGGACAAAGTAAATTTTGCAAACATTTGACAATTTTTGCGTGCTTTTTTAATCGGATTGCATGACATAAATATTATACAGTGGTTAATTATATAAGCCTACAAATTATTTAGAAATAGTGGTGGATAAAAATCCACTAANCAACTGCTCCGGACACTACAAAATAATTAAAACTACGGTAAATAAGGACAAAGTAAATTTTGCAAACATTTGACAATTTTTGCGTGCTTTTTTAATCGGATTGCATGACATAAATATTATACAGTGGTTAATTATATAAACCTACAAATTATTTAGAAATAGTGGGGGATAAAAATCCACTAAATTCAATTTACTACGCCAAGAATCACATTTAATAAACTATCACTTTAAAATATATATTTGCTGTCCGGAGCAAGCTGGCATCTCCGGACTCCCACAAAGAGTAAAAGGAAAAATTTCTTTACTTTTAATTATGCATACTTGAGCCAGAAATAGATTTAAGAGCAGGACGTGGCTTTTTAAGATGTAAAAAGTTTTAATTTTAAAGTGATGACTTCCATCGTAGTGCAAAGAGTTAAAGCATGAAGTTTGTTTGCCAATGAAATATATATATATATNTTTTATATATATATATATTAGCTGTAACGAATCAAGCAAGCTACATTAAAGAAACTGTTCTTTTTTATTAAAACATATTTATTTGGCAAGCACACACAAACTAAGCAAAATTAAATTAAAATACCCATAACGGTTTGATAAAAACCTTGCAAAATAAATGAAAAAAACCGTGACGGCTAAGTATGAACCAAAAATTCAAAACAAAAACTATTCTCATTAAAATCAAGAGATTTTGATGCGACATTCTTTAAATTTTAAATTTCTGCTTCTATTTTAATTATTTTATTTCCTCTATGTAAAACATATGACCATCAAATGACCATACAGTTCTAAGTCTAAGCAAGCAACATGTGTTGTAAATTTTTATGATTTTAATATTCTAATTATTTTTGCAATATACTACCAGTCTACAAAAAATAGATTTGTGGGCAGTTTTGCATTCTCTTTTGAAATAATTTCTTGTACAATTTCTTCTACTGTTGCCTATTTATTTTCTTATTAAAATATACTTAACTTTCAGAATGTGGTGGAGTTTTCACTAAACCTACGGGAATACTAAAGAGTCCATATTACCCAGCAGACTATCCAGCTCTAGCAGAATGTATATACGAAATTCGTACGAGTCCTGGACATATAATCAATATTACATTTAACAATATGGTGATAGAACGTGAGACCCGATGTGAATATGACTATTTAAAGGTAAAGTAGTTTCTTGTCCGTTAACACAGGGGCTCTGCCCCTGCTAGCTTCGCTCACCAACTCCTATAATCACCATAATCATTTTTGTGTGTGTGTTTTGTCAATAACATACTATTCAACTGGAAATAAAAATGCGTTTTAATTCAAACTGAATTCAATTCAAGTGTATTAAAATGAAGGATCCCAAAATGTTTTTTTTATTGGATTAACGCATATTTGGTTTTACAGATTTAGTTCCTGATTCTATTGATCTAAATTTGGAATCAAGTCATTTGGCTGGACATCAATAAAACGTCATCTAATATATTTTTCAAAAAATTCCCATTTAATATTTGGTTACTTAAGAAACTTGTTTTTCGACAGAGTGATTAGTTAGAAATAGTGCAAAAATGGTTATTCACAATTATGTCTACAATTTGTACTCGTTATTTTAATTGCCTGTGTAGACTTGAAAATAATTTTACACAAGTTTTTGATCAAGGTAAATATAAATTATGTATCTTATGTATTAAGATTGAAAAAATTAGATTTACATAAGTTTATCAAAAGTAATCATAAAATTTTCCTTAATAAGGTACTGCCGGTTGGATCCTAAAATGGCCCACCCCGTGACGATTTTTTGAAATCTCGCCAAACACGTTTTTGAAATCTCGCCAAACTAGGTTTCCGGAAGATATTTCATGGAGATTATTTTGAACTCCCGATCACACCACCAAAATTCTTAAACCTGATTGGTTATTTGATATGTATACCTACGCTAAAGTTGGATTTCGTTAGAAAAGAGGTAAAAGGGTTTATTTTTTTGCTATTTATGCTTTGATCTCTTGATGTTAAAATCATCGTTATTTTTATCGTCAAGTTATTTTTATTCTATTAAAACACATTTTAATCAATATGTATTAATTTAAAATATTTCTTAATAATCAAAAAGTAACGTTGGTTTCAGTAATAATGGCCGATTTGGCGAGATTTCAAAAAGTCGCCTTGAGGTGGTTTATTCTACGATTTTACCAGTAGTGCCACAGTATTTGTAACAAAGAAATACTTTCTTCTAATTTTATGCCTTTAATTTGGAATACAAAGTTTGAAACGTAATGGAGGCAGAAGATATACTAAGAAAAGATTTATACTTCAGATAATGTATACTTCATGAAAATTAGGGATAAATAAATATTTTACTGGTGAACTGTAATATTTTTTATTGTTTTAAGCTGATGACAATCTACGAAATTTGATATTCCTGTGAGAAAATTAGATCGTATCATGCAATTTTATGGCTAATTTGAATGGGCCAACAGCAATTCAAATTTCTTTTATGCATTCATAACACGTTTCTATATTACATAGAGAAATTAATTACGTTGTATTTTTATTAAATAAAAACAAATGAAACTTTGCAATATTTTAATAAACAAAATTTCTCTGTTGCTTATTTGTAATTAAATATTTGTTACTTTTTTAAAAATTGGTTTTTAATAGTTCAAACACAAATAGCCTTTTTAAAACCCATTTATAACTCAGTTAATTTTCTACTGAAAAATAATATCTTGAATGATTTGTTTGTAAATTATGATAATAAAAGACAGAACCATTTACATTTTTTAATTTAGATTCAAGATGGTGAAGAGAAAAACAGCTCTGTTATCGCACTGTTTTGTGGAAGTGTTGTGCCAAAGCCACTAATATCTACAAACAATTACTTAAGATTGACTTTTAGAACTGATGGTGCTACTGAGTATCGAGGATTTTATGCAGCTTATACTGTTGTAGAAAATGGTGAGATCAAACAGTATTAATTACTTTTTTTTAACCACTCATGTAGAAGGGTTGGACAAAATTATATAACAGTTCTATACTAACTCTATGTGAACAATCTTTCTTTTAGCAACAAATGTTTTGTAATGGCAAAACTGCCAGCACAATTTGAAAAATCATGATTGAAGCTTTCAAAATTGGTGTCTTTTTACCCATTACAAAATAATACCTTGTTTGTGCTTCGAGCCCAATGGCATGATTGTGGTATTGTGAAGAACACTACTCAAAGGCTGCCTTTGCTTCCCTGATAAGCTTGTACCCATCCATATGAAGCTGGGTGGGTTTCAAGCGGTCATTGAAGATCGAACTTCAATCCTTCGCTATGAGAATTCAGTGCTTTTAACAAGTCAAGCATCGCGGCTCATAGATGGTTGGAAAGTAGTCGTAAAATTTTGATTACAAGAGCCGCTCTGCTTAAACTAAAATGTATTTAAAGAAGATAAATTATAAATCAATATTTCAATAATAAAAATAGAAATGAAGTGTGTGCACTTATTAAGAGTGTGTTATGAAATAAGGCTTACTCTACGATGACAAAAGTTTAAAAAGCAGTATCTGTCTTTTATTTTAGTCACAGTATGGTACACTGAATGCATATTTTCGTATTATACCAGGTTTCCAGGGTATAATTAAAATACGAATGGTTATTCTTAGCCATATAGAGAGATTAATTAAATTAAATAATATCTGAACTATAACAGAAATTGAAAAAAAAATAGAACATTGATTAACTGTACATAAATTTTATGTACTATATTATATATTTACTAAGAGAAATTTTTTTTTATTAAGAAATATTTTTACTAAGAGCAAAAAATTGTTCCTGGCAAAAATATTTCAAAATCAGTAGTAACAGTAACAAAATCAGTATACTAAAACGCTATTTCGTTGTTTTAACACATTTGATATCAGCTTCTCCACAGTTATTCTCGGTAACTACAATATCTCCTTAGAGGCTTTTGTTCCTTCAAGCGATCTTTTCAGAATTTTCCTACCTTTTCTAATTTTTATTTCATCTTTTTCTCGAGCACAACACTCTTCTGTAGGCCTTGGTTGTTTCAACCACCTGTTTTTACCACCATCTTGTATCTGCAGCGATACCCCTCTAATTTTTAGTTTAAAAACTTAAAAAAAAAACTTTTTAAAGTCATTCAACGATCCAATTAATGGTTCCAACTTTCTTCAATCGGCATCTGAGAAGTTTTTTGAAATTCAAAATTTTATCAGAGTTACCTTGCAAACTTCACCAAATATG